AAAACAAGGGCTGACGGCGGCTCTGTACGTTGTTTCGGCGCATCTTTTGACACGAATCGTCCGGTTTTGGGGTCGAAGCCCGGCGGGAGCTCGTACGGGTCGCGCCACTTCTCCCAAATAGAGACGAACTTGGAGGAGTAGAAGGAGAGAAGAAACGCCGACGGGGTGAGGAGGATAAGAAGCATAAGGGCACTCGTGAACTTGTTCTTTTTGAAAGATCCACGGATAAAACGCTGCGCTGTTGGCGAATTTGCATCTGCCACTGTCTCCTGGACGCTTCTTTCAACCTGTTTCCACTCCTTCGGTTCCATCCCTCTGCTCGCCCACAACACCAGAAGCCGCCCTCGCCGCAGAGGTAAGGGTCAAAACACTCATATAGCATTACAAAGAGAAAGGGCAAGAAAAATATGTATATACCAAAAAGTGGCAAATCAACAACCTCAGGCATGAGAAGGCGCAGGAAACAAATGCAGAAATACATATATATACATATATATATATATATATATAACAGGAGTTGTGCTAGCTAGCAGCCTTGAGGCTTCAAGGAAGAAGAAAAAAGGGTGTTGTCAATGGGAAACCTGTAACAAACGTACCAAACAGCCTGGACTGCCACTTCTACTCTTTTCCCTGTCGATATTTTTGAATCTCACCAAGGTTCTTGTCGCCCCCAATATTATAATGTTTCAAGCCGAGATATTCAAGCCAACCGTTCCTGCGTTGTGTCATATACAAGTCGTAGTCCTTCTCATTGCGCCGCGTCCAGATCGATTTATTCGCCCGCTCAAGCCAGTCCCTGCTGGCCACGTGCTCTACGTACAAAGGGCCCAAGTAGGTGGGAAACACGAGAAACACAACGATGCCCACAGTGAAGCACACCGCGACCCGCCGAGAAGATCGTAGACCCGCACGCTGAACACTTTTCTTCAAATTGCGCCGGGGGTGAAAAAAGTTCTCATGCGTTGAGGCCCCTCCCGCCGTGTCATACCCACCGGGGCGTGCTGTTGTGCCGGGTGCCTTGTTCTCCATCCTGTTCCTCAAGCAAGAGAGAGAGAAAAAGCAAACGCAAAGAAAACGGAAGTGTACGCGAGAGTAGAACTGTACACAGCCCTCCACCCAGCCCCCGTGCGGAGAGAAGTAAAAAAAAAAAAAAGTGACGGGCGAAGCGCACGCATCAACAACAACACGCACAACAAAAGCACAGACACCCACAAAACGGTGAACAAAATCTGACAAAAAAGCATCTGTTCAAAACAAAGACGCCCCAAAACGCCGCAGACGCAACAGTCTCATTGCAACTTGAACTGCGAGCGTTGCCGTGAAGAGAGCAAACAAAAACGTACACACCTCAGCCAAACCCACACCCATCCAGTCACAAAAATAACGATCCACACCTGTGGGTGGCTGCCACCACGCCTGTAATGTAAGACAGTGGCGAGAGACTCCACACAGGCGGGGGCAAACATGTCCTTCAACACCGCCACAATCCAGTGTGCCGTTACTGTGATAAAAGGCGCAACGGCCCATCCTCCCTCGTGTGGGCCCTTCCTCCTCATTCCCAGCCTCCATCTGTGTCGCCGGTGTGAATTGGGCGCGCCGAAGAGGTGACACAAGCAGCTGCAAACCCCCATCCGCCATGACAGCTCTGCTTTTAAGCAGGGTCGTACCGCACTTCAGCCAGCCACCCATGTCCTGTGAAGCACTGGCAGTAGGAGACTCCAGCGTCGCCGTCAGCGCAATCTCAACCTGCAGCACCGGCGCAGTTATGAGAATAAGGCTGCAGTCTGTGAAAGCAACTCGCGAGGATAAGCTGCAGTAACGCCTTTCATTGGAGTCAAGATCCGTGATTGTTGTAGATGTTTCAAGAAGCAGTTCTGTCGATTGCCTCGAGGGAAAAATACGGTAAAGCTCAAAATAAAACGTGTCCTCCAACCGTGAATGTCGCACGAGGCCACTCACGCCAACACTAAATAGAAAACACGATGCGACCAGCTCTGTGTCCCGCATATTAGATTTCTGCAGGAATCGCAGTCGTGAGATGCCGGGGATATACACGCCTATTGAGTACCCCCATTCAAGCAGGATGGCGCTTGTGGCACCATCCAGGCTTTGTATATAGAGCAACTGGGCATCGGCGCCCCCACCATCGTGAGACAGCAGCCAACGCCTCGCCATACCAAGAGAAAAAACCGCCTCGTTCGATGACACACTTAAATTCCCGTCGCGCCAGTCAGCCACCAGCATGTAAAGTGAAGTGGAGGCATCATCGTACCTGCACGGGTACAAGACCTGAATCGCAGTATGGCGAGTAAAAAAAGTCACGGTCACAGCACCATCCACATTATTCACTGATTCTGGTGCGTGAAGGCACCGTACAAGAATGTCGTCAATAGCGACAAGCGAAGGTCCGGTGGTTTCTGAGCTTGCTGCATTATTCGACCGTAGCAGAAGAGCAACACGCAGTTGCAGGTCCGGAACGCCGCGTATCACGTGCCAGTCAAGAATCGCACTGACCTCACTGTGAACCAGCACGTCATGCGTCACTCCTGTCGCCGGACTCGTAAAGTGCATTGAACGCCCCGCCGACTCCAGGAGTAGAAGTGCATCGCACTTTGAAGCCAGGGGCAGAAGCATGAGGATGCCCACAAAGAATGAAAACGTTTGAAGCACCATGTATTTCCGTGTTCCCTCCTCTCCCTTTTCCCTTCCTCTCTCCTGAAGGTTGTGTTGTCTTCGAGAAACCACGAAGGAACAAAATAAATATTACAAGAGAACATGCATACACGTACAGATAGGCATTTATTAGTTTAATTTGCTCTCTGACGTCGATATGTACGGTACGGAAAAGTATTGCGGCCGTTAGCACACCATCCAATGCCTCGTATCATTCAAGTGCAAAACCCCCACCACATCTATCCATACATTGAAAAATGATTACGGAAACAACAAGGGCAGAAGCATGCATACGCATATGCGCATCACCTTTTATACCAGCGATTGTTCTACCGCCTCTTTTTGAGCTTTTCCTGAAGTACTTTCTCACAGCAGGAAGGCTCCATGCAGTACCACTTCGTCGTGGATAACGTCAAGTACTCCTTCAGCGCCCTGTCGTGAATATCTAGGCATGCACAGTGGTACCAGCCGTGGCACGCGCAGCAGCGCACGACGGTGTCGTCTCCCTCCGTCACACTAGCAGGGCAGCACTTTAACGTATTGGGAGGAAAGCGACTTCCTTTCGGCTGCGACTCGTGCTGTGTGGCGCAGACAGCGCACAAATACACTCCTCCTGTTGGCACCATGGCTGTCGTGTAATTCACCCCGCAACCATCGCAGGGAGTCCCACGTCGACTCAAATCGTCGTCTCTTGTGTTGCTGGCTCTTCTCCCACCTTCGCGCACTACGGTGGCAGCGGAGGCGGAGATATTGGCCCCGTAACTGTGCCCAGCCGCTCCCAATCGCACGGCATTCTCCAAGAAGCCGTTTTTCCCCTCCATCTCGTTGTGGAAAGGGGAGAAAACACTAGCTGCGGGATCCATCTGCAAAAAGACGGCAACTCAAGCTATCACGGAAGACAAGGGGAAAAAAAAAAAAATGACATGAAGAACAATAAAATCAAGACACAAAAAGTCATTTAAATTCACAGAAACATCCCCGTTGTGCTGCAGAAGCCGTGCAGTGGGCTGCTCTCTTCCTTTCTGTACAAATACACTTACGGGTCCCAATCACCGCGGCACCTGCAGCGGATGCGTCCTAATCTTCATATCCTGAAAAGGAACAAAAACAAAAAGAGAAGAGGGAGGGGGGGATCGCGTCGCTTTTCTGTAGAGTTCTTTTTTTCTTTTTTTCTTTTTACCTCTTTGTTGGCTCCCTTTGCTCGTCAGCTACGTCTTAGTGGATCCTGTTCGGGGTTTCTTCCCCTTTCTCGTCTGCCCGTCCCCATTTGCGCGGTTTTGGGTTATTCACAGTGGTTCTCTCTCACTACAAGGGCTCCGCCGTGTGCACGGTGGATCCACAACGAAAACAACGGAAGGACCCCGCGAGCTTGGGATCCAGCAGTCGGCTCTTAATACAGTAATAGCAGTAGAGGTGTCTACAGTTCGAGCGCTGCCCGATGGTTGGGTGGCCATGACAGGCGCAGCAGACATTGTCGCTTAATCCTGAGCCCGCCGCCGGCGAGGTAAAGGCCCGCAAAGAGTGTGACAAACGACTGAAGTGCCGACCAATGTTCAGAACAGCCAACAAGGAGGAGCAGGTTTGCCACATGACATGTTGATTCAAGTACATTAAGTTTGTCACCCTATGCATGCTTTGACTGCCATAAACCAGCCGGAGTGAAAGCAGCCGCTCTACAAGGGTGCGGTATTGCGCTGTGGCCAGAAAGTGCAGCATGTGAAGTAACGAAAAAGCTGCCCATGCCACGCATGCTAGTCGAACAGCCTTCGCTATCTTGGCCTTCAAGGAGCCTGCATTCCCACGTTCCCAGTCCTCCTCCAACGATTTGCGCTGCAGCTTCCGCACCAGGTATGGCAAGCAGACGGTCAATAAGGCGTAAAGAAGGAGTCGGCCACGCGTCGGTGCCAAAGAAGGCACAAGCCTCACCACAGAGGATTGCCCGCTCGCCAGCGCCTTCCTCTCATCCCGAAACACGAGGTTCCCCTGGCGATCACCTATGGATTGGGCACGTCTCCATGTGGAGCCCCAGTACAGGATGGCATCGAGCACAAACATGAGTTCCTCTTGATACGCGTAGCGGTAGGATTGGAGTGCATCCAAATCAAATATCTCAAACAAATTGCTGCGCAAATAATCTACCAACTCCGCCTGCGTCTGCAGGGCACCCAGCTGAAACACCCGAAGCACATGATTCTCCGGGAGGGCGGTAAACAACGGAGAAGCGGGGAGAGCGCCCTGCTGCTTCATCACCGTTGACAATGGGAACTGCGCCGCCGCAGAGTCCGCCGCCCAGGACATCGGCAATAACTTACAAACCGCCTCGTACACTGCAACGCAAGACACAGCGAGCAAGGGGAGGCGCACACATCAAGAAAAAAGCAGACAAGTAAAGAGTCCCTCGTGAAATACAACAAATTCAGTGTATTGAAAACAAAATGCAAAACACATCAGTAGGAAGGAAAAGGAGGAGGAAAGGAACAGCAGCCACAACGATTCGCCGAAACAACAAAGTAAAAAAAAAACACACACACACACACAAAAACAAAAAAAGGGGGAGAGGAGTAAAACAATACAGAAGAAAAGCTACAAAAGTGGCCTGCACACTAAAAGACACTTCAGGCTGCACTGGCTTTAAGAAACTCAGATATCACATTCATTGGGTTTGATTGCCCCATAAGATGGCGGTCGAGAAGTGCCTCAAGTCGTTCAGTAGTTTCCTCGCCCTCAGTCTTCAGCAATTTGCACGCATTCGCCTCCTCCTCGCGGCTCACCTCCAGTGACTGTTGTAACATAATCTCTATGCACGCTATCTGTTCATGAATGGCCGTATTGCTGCCCTTCAGTTCTTGAAGTGCAAGATTCAGCTTCTCGACGGCCTCTGCGGCTTTTGCTTGGGAAGCCAAAAGTCGCTGCTCTATGCTCTGGATGCTCTCTTCCACGCCCTCTCTAAGAGCTGCACGGGCGCCATCGGTGGCCACATGCCCCTCATCCACCATCCTCTGAATGTCGTTCATCGAGGCATTGAGAATGGCTGCAACTTCTTGATGTCTGAACTCATTTTTACTGTTGACAAGTTGTTTCATTTTTTCAACCACAACACTTGCATCATCATCGGATGCCTTGATGATCTTCTGGAAGATGGCTAACACATGGGAATCGTTACCTGTCAGCTGCAGGGAATCAGCTCGGTGTCTCTTCGCCTCTCTCTCGGTGCGTGCGTCGTGCAAGGCTGAGGGAGACGTGGCCACAGCCCCGTTACTGGCATGTGTGCTGTTCCGCTTGCGTCCTTTCTTGGCATCCAACGCGGACAGAATCCAAGAGCGTATGCGGGATTCCTTAAAGAGGGCGAGCTGGTCCACCGTCATGAAAAGTACAATGCTGTCCTCACCCGGTGTATGGCTCAATAGTGCCTCAAGCTTCGTCGGAAACTCGTCCAGACGAAAAACAACTCGTCCATCCTTGCCAAGCGTTACCGACCGAATCGACCGGTAGGGAATGGTGACGTTGTCAGCGTTGCTTGACGTCATAAGCACAACAAAGTAGTTCATTGTGAAATACGATGAAGTGTTCTCCATGATCGTCGTGTAAGCCACGTCTGCTCGGTTCACTGGAAATGACAAGATGTCTTCCCGCTCATCGTTGATGTCGTGCAGCAGCTCCACCATTTTTGTCAACAATGTTGAGTCATTCGGTAACTGGCGAATATTATCCAGCACACGAGGACGAAGACGGCTGGAAATTTGCGCCAGCAGGGACTTGTTGTAGCGTGAGAGGCGAAACAAAAGCTCGATACACTGCAGCTGAAAAAAAACGTCCACGCTCAGTGCACAGCAGTCTGCCAAGAAATTCCACGAACTAATCCGCTGCTTATTCTGTTTGGAGCCCTTCACCAAATTAATGAGGGCCGTTGCTGCGGCCCGTTGCGCCAAAAAACTCGCATGGGCCTCCTCAACGCTGCGACGGTATATGTCATCCAACATACACGCGAGTCCCTCCATAAACAACGCACCACATGCATCTTTGATGGCACTGCCATCGCAGAGGCTACCAACTACTTGCACAAGTTCAACAACGGCGAGGCTCTGTAAAGGGAAAGCCCGCTGCTCCACCGCCACGCGGAAAATGTCACGCAAAGTTTGCAGAAGCGCACCATTTTCTCCAAAAGTATCTATGCCTTTTCCAAAGGAACTCTCATTGTGGGCGAACCCCTCTGAGAACAGCTTAAAAAGCACACAAAACGCATCTGCATCCCGCGATGCCAGTGCCTCCTCCGCCCGAAGAAAAATGAAAGAGGCCTCTTTGAAAATGCTCTGCACCTCGACATCGTCTAGGTCCTCTTGTCGTCGCAGAATGGCGTCAACGGCGCCAGGCAGGGCGCCAAGCGGGGCGGCAATGATGTCGTGCATGTTGATGTGGTTCTTCCTGGGTTGCCGTGCCTTCATTGTGGGGAGTTCAAGTCACACGCACTTTTGTTTGTTTGTTTTTCTCTCTGCGCTCCGCCGCTTTATTTTTTATTTATTTACTTATTGTTTCAATGTCTTTTGTTGCTCACTGTGTCTTGCTCTTGTTGTTTTGTGCCACGTCTCCGTCGTCGCGTTGCGACCGCCTTGACCACAGCACGTGTGCAGGACGCCGCTTCGCGCTGCGGGGTGGAAACACCGTGACAGATCAGGGGCCACGGTCAGAAGATACGTCGGAGAATGACGGTGTAGCAAACGAAAAGAAAAGAAACGGAAAAGAAGAACGCCTTGTAGCGGAGCAAAACTCCAATAACTGCTACAACTACAATAAAAATAATAATAAATAATAATAACACCAGTCGTCAAGAACTCTCGTGGTGGTGTCATTTCACCTGGCAGGGGGTGGAAAACATTCAATAGCATGGGAAACTATTTATTGAGCCCATGCACATGCACACACTACGAATGCAGCTAGGCAGTGGTCCCGCCCGCTTCGGCATTTAAAACAAGCCGCCGATGCTCTTCCCTCGACTCTGTTCTTCGAAGCAAGAGAGCAATAAAAGCACCAATAGCTATTCCCACAACCGCGCCAACCACGCCGGCGAGAATAAACGCAAGGAGGTAATTTTTCATAAGTTTCCTCTTGGAAAACGAAACACAGGTATAGTTCCGCGAGGGATCCAGCTCCGCACTGGGCCCACATACCTCGTTTGGGCAGTACTTGCGATAGTACTGGCAGTGTGCGCTAGGCACTGCATCAAGTATGTCACACTTATCCTCCGGACGAAGATAGCAAAAGGGATCCGCCATAGTCGGCTTTGAGCGGTTCACGTGACGCCAAACATCACTCAATGGGCACGTTGATGCCACATAGTCTGATCCCTCAGCCGTTTGGCAATGCACCGTTATGGGTAATAAACCCGAAACGTAGTCCAGGCGGGATCCCGCCTCCTGCTGAGGCTCAGCGTAGCTGAAGGAAACGTTTCCGTTGCGGTAGCTTGTCACCGTCAACACGGCGCCGAAGCGGGGAAGCCACTTGGGATCAATGTCATCCAGTTGAATTCCGCCAAGGACGTTAAGCACACCCAATATGGCATAATCATGAACGGAGTATTGGCAAACTTTTTTGTCGCCGGTTGCTGCATCATGCAACACTTTTGCCGTTAGGCTGTAGGCTGGAGATCCTACTACGGCGTAAGGATCCGTAGAATGGAAACCAAACTTGTGTTTATTATCACCATACGACAAGGGTAAAAGTTTAGCCTTAAAGACAGCTTGGAGTTGTGTGGACACGTTGCCCGCAGTAATCCTGGACTGAAGAGCGTCCGCAGCAAAAAGGGCACACTGCATAGGTGTTTCCGTGCACCAGCTGCCAAATTCACTAGAAAGCGTTTGAAGCTCGGCTGTAGATAGCATCGCTCGCGCCAGCGTATCGTTATTCCGGTATGAGAAAAACCACTGAGGACGGGCATACATATTGGGAAGCATGTGGTTGAATCCCATAAGCCAATCCGTTTCCATAGGCGTATGCCTTACAATGGGAAAAAATGGGGAGGATGAGTAGCAAAAGGCTTGTAACACCCCGTGCGCCGACTGGATGCAGTTGTCAGCATCCTCAGAGAAGACGTCATACGCATCGGGGTCGTAGGAAGAGATGAAACTGTCGTACGTCACCCGCAGCAGTTTTCCAAGGTTTTGCATCATTGTCTCCCCACTTGGCGTCAGCTGTGTAACGTCGGCAAAACCCTTGTGAATGAGAGGCGGTGCATCCCTCGCACCGTGGCGGTGAACAATGCTGACATGCTGGATAGGTTCTTTGGCGCCCACAAGAAGCGCCGACAGCAGCAAGAGCAGGACAACAACGGTAAACAAAAAGCGCAGGCCAGGCATCCCTGAAAAATAAAAATAAAAATAAAAAAAAGTAGACACACACACACACACACACACACATGTATATACCTCAGGGCAACGACCGTTTCTTGACGTTGTCCGGATTGTACACCAAAAAGTGACGGCAAGTGAAGTGCAAAGGTAAAAAAACACACACACAAGAAAGGAGAAAGGGTGAACAAGAAGAAGGAGGTTCCAGTAAGACGTCGCTGGAAGGCAACCGAAAGGACCGAGTCTCATATAATGCGTTCCAGCTTCTTCCTTGCGTCTCCATTTAGTTCAAGAAGCGTTGTGGACCAGCGAGTCAACGCCTGGAGCTGCTCCACCTCTGAATCTGTCAGCTGTTCTCTTTGCATGACAAGGATGTGCTGCTCGTCATCCAGGGCAGCATTCAGCTTACCCTCCGCCACCGCCCTGACGCAGAGTCGCTCAGCCTCGTCCGCGTCAACGAGTAAGACCTCCTTCAGACGCTCCATATAAAGACACTGGTATGGCTCCACGTACGCGACAAGAGCCTGTAGGCGGAGCTGCTCTAGCACCTCGTCTAGGCAAGGCTTCAACACAGCATCCGCATCAAAAGAGTCCCGGTGAAGCTTCATAACGTCGATAAACTCGCGAACATCATTCGCTGCAAATGACCTCATAAGCATTGCAACGGGCACAATTTCGGGCGTATCCTCGTACGCCTTTGCCTCACGTCTGGCAAACGGGTCAATAGTGGAGCCGCCTAACATGCGCGCAAACACAAGATACTTAAGACAGCCTATCTTGGAAGGGTCGCCGAACTCGTTGTAGTGCAGAAATGCCTCAGAAAAAGCCCGAAAAGCGGAGGACCAGTCACGAAGATGCATATACATCTTTCCCCCGCACTCCATCACACCACCCAGCACTCGGGATGGAGGGATGGTGTTAGCAATGGAGGTGGACAAGAAAAACGTTTCCCGCATACGTTTGTAGTCCTTCTTTTTGGAGTAGACCCTTAGCAGCAATGCGTATGCGAGAAACAATTGAGCACTCTTCTTGAAAGCAAACTGGTCTTCCTCTTTACACCATGCCAGTACTGGCCCCATTTCATCCAGCACCGCATCCAGTGCATTCGCTTGTAGTGTCAGCGTCGCGTGCTTAAGCTTTGCGTTAAACCAGAGTTTCCCAAAAGACTTCATGTCCCTTGAGGTAACCTTAATGGTCGTCTCCAGCATACGCCGTAGATATTCCACAGGTACACGCTGCGCCTCATCAATAAGTTTGGTCATGGCCTTTTGTAATTGTCCCTTGCTCACATCATTGTGACTAAAGCTGGACACCTGGTCGTAGTAGCTAAGCATCTCTTCATAAGACTTCATGCGTCGACAGACCCTGACAAGCATCTTCAACGCCTTGAATGACCACCTTCCACCCACTGGATCATCACGCGCGACGCTACGCATCCCAGCAGCGCATTCCTCCGGCATAGTGTCCATCATGGACTTTGCCGTCACGTAGACGTTTTCCAGCCCCGCCTCCCACGCCTCCCCCTCCTCATTGCCATAGTCGTCATCATAATAGTAGTACCCTTCATCCTCCATCCTCCCCTCTCGCTGAGGGGGACGAGGGGGGAACTAAAAAGAAAAAAAAAAAAAACTACGAGCAACAAAAGAAGTAGCCCCGCAAGAAGAGAAACAAACTCGGCAGATGGAAATACACAGGGAGAAAGAAAAAGTGGATCAAAAAACTTCCCCACCCATGGCGGTCTCTAAAGCCTCTATCCAACAGAAAGCATACATTGTTGAGCACATATTTTTTTCCGTGTTTTTTTGTGTGTGCGTGAGCGTGTAGCTATGACTCTTTAAGTGCCCCTCAGTTCATCCTCTTGTTTTCCCCTGTGAGCATCCCCACCCCCCACCCCACCCCCAGCCGTACAAAGAGGCCGCAACCACACCGCGGCGGCGCCTACCTGTGCTATTATACATCAAAAAACTCTGATCTGTTCTAGCTTCATTGCGGTAAAGGGAAGAACGTGAGAAAGTAGACGCAAAAGTAAACACATCAAACTACAAAATAAACAATATTTTGCTGCATCGTCGTCTTGCCCTACTTTCCCCTTTCCTTCCTCCTTCCGGCTGCTCTGCACGCGACTAGCTGAACACACAGCTTTCGTAGGTTGGCACCATGTACTTGATATTAATGTACGCATCGTCACCGCCGTGCAGCTCAAGCAGTTGAAGTGTCTCCTCCACCAAGTCGCCTACATCGTCACGCTTTCTCTGACCATAATCAATCGTATCTCCGCGAGCACGGTGTTTGTGGCGGCTTTTAAATAGATTAAACATGGGAAGAATCTGCCGATAATATGGAACAAGAGCTTCGCCAATGAGGTCGCCGCTAACAACCAACTGTTGCAGGATACGAAGAGTCGCACAGATAATCTCCGGATGACGCGTGTTTAGTGCTGTCTTGATGGGAATAATAAGCTGCGGAATAGTGGGAAGGACCTTGGCGCTCCCGCGCTGAAGCAGATCCAGGCAACCCTGGCGGGCCAGAAACATGTACGGCTCCTCTGTTTCACGTATCCCATCAAAGAATATGGGAAGGTAGTGGTGGTAATCCAGTCGCTCCACTTCCACCTTCCAATCGATGCTGGGACGGCTCCCGTGTGACACGGCTAACGGCAAGTCACCACGATCATAGTACCGACGAAATTCAGTGGGGGGAATAATGCGACGCTTAAATGCACCCGCCTTGGGTGGTTTACTGTCACCCGCACCGTTGGCCGAAAAGGCATCAGAGTTAGTATTGTTTGGACGGCCCTTATAGAGCGAACTTGTGGCCCCGCCAAAGCCGGATCGGGTGCCCGCATAGGCAAACTTAACCCCGCGCAACGACACTGACTCCTCTTTGCACGTTTCCGTTAAATCAGCAGTAGTTGTTTTCTTTGGGGCATAACCAGGAGGAAAAACACCGAACGGGCTCTTACCCGCCGCCTTGTTGTACCGCTTTGTCACCGGATCGCGTCGTGTACCTTTCAAAATGGGCTGAATCTCGTAGGTCATCCTCTCTTGTGGCGATTCCCTCTCTTATTATTGTTGTTTTGTGACGCTGTAGGGAGAGACTGCAAACCCCGAAAATAAGGAATGAAAATTTAAAATAAATCGCTTAAAAGGTACACGAAAGGAAAGTAAGAAGGAAAACAAAAAAAAAAAGATGATGGGGAAAAACATGATCAGAGTCAATTTTCTTTTTAAAAAAACAGAAGAGAAGAGAAATGATCGATATAAGGGCATTCCAACTTTTCTTTGTTTGTCTTTTTATTCTTTCTTTTATTGAATTTTTATTACAACTATTTTTCTTGACTTCCACGTTGTGATTGCAGTCAGCCAGTTAAAAAAGCACACGGGATCATGTTTTCGCCTCCCAACTCTCATTATCTCTAGGCGGTTCGACATGGTAATCGTTTCCAATTCGCACAAAGGCCTCTCCCTTTTCTCGCAACAAATCCTCAATGTTCTTTGCCTCATCAACAAACCATCCCAGGTTGTCAGCAAGAAGGTGTCGAACCTCGCAGGAGGGACATTGGACAATAACAATGCCCTTTGTATAGGCATGTCTGCTAAATTTCTTTACCGTGCGATGCTCACAACGTCCACAGGTAAACGCCGCCACCATATCACCAGACTTCGTGCCGATGCCGGCACCACCCATTTTAGAGCTTGGTTGTTGCTCAGGGTGTTGTAAAGCTTCAAAAATAAGTCGTTGATCATCCTCAGATAGCCCTCGAATCCGCTCCTTTAGCTGTTCGTACGCGTCTCTTTGCGCTGGCAGCGTCTCTCTAGCTACTGTCCCAATCGAACTTGATACAGGTACATTCACTCCGTTCTTTTCGCCACAGAAACGCTCGAAAAAGCAAAGCGCATTCTGATGCCTTCTCAACGGGGGCAAAACGAACCTCAGGGGCAAATGCAAACACCTGCGCATAGGGTACTATATTTTTTTTTAAAAAAAAAGTTCCCCACTGTGTGCGGACATGCCAGTTATTCACCACGCAGAAATTAGAATTCGGCAAGAAAGAAAACAAGTGTTCGCTGACAGAAATACCAAGAAAGAGTGCGTGAAGAAAACATTCATACCATCAATATATATACATATAGAAAAAAAAAGATAAAAGCTTTTTTTTTTGTGTGTGTGTGTGTCTGCGCGCGTTATGCTGTACCACCATTTCCAAGCGTCTTATACGTAAGATTAGAGTTTACTCACTCCATTTCATAAGTGCCTCAACACTCACCCCCTTACCAGAGAGTTGCTTCAACTTCGCCTTATGCTTGCTGCTGTTTATGTGTTCCTTGTATTGCCCGCTCTTCTTAAACTGTTTCTTGCATGCGGGGCAGCTAAACTTGTTTACTTCATTCTCGTCTTCATCGTCGCCCTCCAGCATTGCAAATCCTTCACCGTTACTGCCCCTTGTCTTTCGCATCTCCTCCATTTGGCGTTGCTTTTCGTAAAGCAACTCCAAAGTGTGGTCACCCGTAGCTTCCCCTCTGTCAAGTCGAGCTTGTTCTTCCTCCGCTTCCTTCTCCGCTGCAGCTACCCAAAGTTTTTCATTTGCTTCACGGCGCCTTCGTGCTTGCTCCAAACGCTTCTGCCCTTTTTCTTTTGCTATTCGGAGTTCTTCTTCCTCTTGGCGAGCCATCTCAGCTTGAACCCGAGGGTCACGACGGTATACAAACCGAGCAAGGCTTTGCACAGCTTGTATGTATTCTTTTTTAGCAGCTGCCCGTGCCTTTTGATTAATCCGTTCAGCCATTCGTCTGGATGCACGATCAGGGATTTCGTTTATCTTGTATTCATCTTTACATGCAAAGTTCTTAAAGGAAGCAAAATTTTTCCAATAAGAATAAAACTCTGACACACTACTCCACTCTGTTGAACTCTCACCAAATCGAGGCCAACATTTGGCCCTATCATCATATTCACTTTCATCTTCCAGCAATTGATCAAATACCCGCCTATACACACTAAAAAATCCATCCTCACCATCATCAAAGCCATCATAGCATCTGGAAGAAAAGTAGCCATATAAATTAATATCGTTTGCAGAACCTTCAGCATCTTCTCCATTCAAAATACTTTCCCGATGGGCGTCATACCACGCACGCTCCTCTGAATCACTAAGGACAGAATATGCATTCTGAATCTCCTTAAATATGGCCACTGTATTCTCCACATTGCCATAATTTTTGTCCGGATGATGCAGAAGAGCCTGTTGCTTGTACGCACGACGAATTTCGTCCAGTGACGCTTTTCTGTCCACCTCAAGCACCTCATAGTAGCAACGCTTAGGCGCCTCCGACATATTTTTCCCTTCCCAATCGTTTCCCCTTGTTCAGCAAAAGCAAAACAAAAAACAAAAAAAAGGAAGGTGCCAAAGAAAAAAAAAGTTTTAAAGCAAACATAATGTCTGTTGCTCGCCAATGCCTCTTTTTAAATGGTCGTTCTTTCATAGAAACCAGAAGAATATATATATATATATATATAGAGAGAGATAGGTAGATAGATAAAGTGATAATAGCATCATTGTTTTTGTTTTATTTATCTTCGGTGAAAAACGGTAATAAAGAACCTATCATTTGTTTGCCGTTCGTTATGTGTGTTGATGCTACTAAAATGCGCCTTGCCCTGCCAGCATCAGCTAATTTTGTCTGTACATAACGCAGAGCGCTAATTTCAGCATACGTGATACCTCCAATAACAAATACCATCGTTGTTGGAGTAACCCCTGAAGGTTCCACCTCATTACGAATTTCCAGCTTTTCACCTGCAACAAAGTCGGTAGCGTCCGATGGTGTATTCCAATTCTCAGGATGACTAATCATAAACTCCAACAAACGCACCAACAAAGATGCATACCCGCTATATACATAGGATATATCATTTGGTTGTTGCTCTTGTAATGCGTCATACCATAATTTAAGTTGTTTGCGGATAGTGGAAAAGTTGGGTTGCTTGTTGTCGTGTTTCGTGATCAAACCACTACGCTCTAAAGCAAAGAAGGCTGCCAGACCTTGTGGAATGCCATAAGACAGCATAATATTCTCTTTAAAAAAATCATATGTTTTGCTTTTAAGGCCACCGTTTACGAGTGAATAGAGGGAAATAAGTCGCAAAACATCCGCAATAGGAACGTTCTTATTAATAAGTTCCTCTATATAGTCCACCACTTCACGCTCATTCACCTGTTGAATGATACTCTGCTCCATGGTTACCCGTCTTCTAAATTCAATACTTTGTGTACGTTTTCCTATTTCAGTGGCCACGGCAGTATGCATACCTATCAAACGGTGTAATTCCTGCATTTCAGGCAACCCCTTCATAAACTCCTTTAGCTCTTTGAGTTGTTGAACCTCTTTCCGACGTTCATAACTCTTTTTTATCCAAACGGATTTATTATAAAGCGTTAACCCAACGTTTGCAAAATTCTTATCACGGATTTCGCCATAAACTTTATCAGCATGGTTCAAAAAGACTCGCTGTCCTAATTCAAGTTTTGCGCCATCACCCAAATTAAATGGAAAGTTCACATAACCAGCATCTATGTTGTAAAACTCATCGATAAGCCCCTCATACGTCAATTGAGTCATAAGCGGTGTTAGCAAATCTAATGTCCTATCCAAAATAAATAAAGAACCAATCTCAGGAGTAAGGTCTGTGAGAAATTCAGATCCCACCTCACTCTGCATTCGATGTAGTATTTGTATCACCTTTGTTGCTCTTGTTCCCTTACCTCTAATCAAGGAAATTGCACCAAAACGTGAGGTTTGTAGCTTCAGTATCATTCTTGCAATCCACTGAAGCAACGCAATATCCCCATCGGCAATTAAATGCTTCAAGGCCAAAGGTTGTTGCATAGAAAGAAAATCATCCTCTAACGGTATCAGATCCAAATCAAATTCTCCCAAGCTTAATCCAGGTACAGCCCGCATGAGCTTATATTCATTTTCAAGTGCATGTCCAATCATAAGAGGCTTACGCGGGACAAAGAAAACATGTATCAACGTCCTCGCGTGTGTTTTTGAATTTGACAATATATTTACTACCAGCGATCGGATGTTTTCCATATCAGGATTAAGAATAAAAACAGCATGCTGCGTAGAGACAAAAGCAATTTCTGCCTCATAAGGAAACACTCCAATCACACCATGGTTCGATGAGAAAAGTTCCTCGGATAAACCAATCGCCTCAAATGTCGATAAAAGATGAGGAGCTATATATAACACCTTTGTGGACCTAGAACCAGAATCGAGGGAATCTAAAAGAGATGCAAGTTCAACTTTAATAGTTTCCCGAATGCCACCTAGTCTCAAAAACTCGCTCCTTGAATTCATTGCACTATTATATAATCAGCAAAAAAAAAGTATTACCTACAAAAAACATACAAAAAAGAGCATGTAAGGAAACATAAAACACCAAAAACCGCATTA